AGTTCTTGGGGGGGGGGTTAGCATATCTATATATATATACGAATGTATGTATGTATGTATGTATGTATGTATGTATGTATGTATGTATGTCTTCGTGTGTGTCTGTGTGCATGCTTGCAATGCATGAACGGATCAGCAGATGGATGTGTGTGTATATATATATATATGTATCTGTACACGTAGGGCTATACTATACCGTCGGTAGTTCGGCGAGGCCTGGTCAGGAAATCTGAACTCCCTGTGTGAGGATTGGGTGTAAAGAAGTTCCAGCCAAGGACAACACATCTTGTGATCCCAGTATGTTAGAGTCCAGGGTTTAGGGTTTTGTCATTCCTATGTCCGGCAAACGCATCCTCGGCTAGCTGTAAGGTCACATATCTATATATATATATATATCTATATATGTATGTATGAGACATATGGTACTTACAATTCAACCGACACGTGTTTGTAGGCATCGAACCCTAAACCTGATTTGACACTGAACTGTTGAACCAGGCCGGTCAACGCCCCTGGAGCCCAGACATATCATAGGCCACAGACCAAAAGCGCTGAACTTCAAAATCCCTTCAAGACTCCTTGTAGAAGCCTTAGACCCCAGATCTTTAAGCACTTTTATACTGAAGGAGCTTGGCTGGTTAGAAATGTTGTTCCGTAGAGCTCCTTCTTACAAGCACGCGATAGCATACCCCATCATACCCCAAAACCCTATGTTCATCATGAAGCCCATCAGCCCTAAACCCTAAACCCCAAACCCTCTTAGCCTAAACCTCAACCCCTAAACCTCCATTAGCCAAAGCCCTCAGGCCTCGTGGGGTGCCTTCGCTGCGCTTCTGAGCTCGGGCGCTGTGGTCACATGGGGTGATTCTTGGATAATTCATCCCAAGTGCTTCAGAAGCATCTGGAGACTTATAAATTGTTAATGGATCTTGGGGATCTCAGTACGGCTTTGGGCCTTGGGGTTTGAGGTTTCAGGGCTTAGGCTTGGGATTTCGGGGTTTAGTTGGGGTTTCGGGTTTCGGCTCCGGAGTCGTAGGTCTTACGGAGGGAGCCATTTGGAAGGTCAGAAATGCCAAACCCAGGCTACGCCTCAAACTTCCACCTCCCTTCGTGTTGAGAGCTCCAAAATGATCTTGGGTTCGGGGTGGAAGGCATGGGGCCTAAATTGAGACTGTTGGCTGAAGAAAGTCCCCATACCAAAAACCCTCAGACCCTTCGGCCTAGCACTGTATATCCTTAATCTTTTTCCCTTCAACTTGAAAGCGGAGAGTAACCCAAAGCTGCTTGCTGGCTAGATCCCAGACTTGGTACAAAGCCTTACAAACGATCTTTTTTTTTTTCTCTCTCTCTCTCTCTATATATATGTATGTATATATATATATATGTACATATGCGGCGTGTGTGTGTGTATATACATACGTGTACATATATATATATATATGTATATATGTATACTATATATATATACACACATGTCGGTTTATATATACATATATACAGACAGAGAGAGAGAGAGAGAGAGAGAGAGACAGGAACAGGGAGAGGGAGGGGGAGGGGGAGGGGGAGAGGGAGAGGGGCGAGACAGAGCGAGAGCGAGCCAAAGAGAGCGAGAGGGAGAGGGAGGGAGAGCGAGAAAGAGTGCCTGCGTGCAGTTTGGTACTTGCCTTTAAGTCTGAGGGCCAAAGGACGTCCAAAAGACCTGTTCCAAACCCCTCACCCAAGGATCGGGACTATGGTGGCGACAGTCGAGCTGTCAGCAGCCCATTGGCAAAGTTTACATCGTTCGTGTATGACTCCGTGCTACTGCAGTGCTGTGGTTGATTGCGCCTCCTTGTCTTCTTAAATCCGAAAATATGCCTCTAACTAAGCGGCTGCATGTTTTGACAAAAAATCTTTGGTTTTCGGCTTTGACACTGTTGGGGTTTACGGGGTAGCAGTGGTCGAGGAGACTTATAGGTTTAGGGTTCCTGGTTATGGAATTGCTATTTAATCCAAGTGTCCTGCCTGCAGCGGCGATGGACGTGAACTGGCCGGGGACTAGCAAGTCACTGCTGGCCGTGGCAATAAGTTGTTCTCGCACCGTGGCTGTGGACTGGCCCGTGCAAGCAACTGAGAGGAGTGTCTGCGGTTCAGTCATCCGGAAGTGGAGCACGCGGCAGCCCATGCTCTCACCGGTCTATTTCCACTTATGTAGCACTGATTACTCACGGCGTGTCGTGGTCTCGATTGGAGGCTGCTCTCCAGCCGGTGATCGCTGCTGGTGTGAAATTACCCTTTCGCCCAGTTTCCATGGCACGGTGGATGATGTTGGTTTGCTTTCTGGTGGTCGTGCGGGGCTTCGTTGTCCTTCCTTTTCCTCTTGCCCGCTTCTTCTGTGCACGTCTGTCTTTTAATCTCTCTTTCCGCTTGTCTGCTGTTTGTTTTTCTCGAGGGTGGCTCTGTTGATGGCGACTCGGAGCCGGAGTTTTCAGTGCTTGAGGGGGATGTGCCTTGGTTGCAAGTCTTCGTGCGTTCGGTGATGCTGTCAGCGGGTTTCTCTTAGGATCCACTCCGGAACCCGTCGATGGAGGTCTCTTGGCGTGGGTCTAGTTTCTTAGCTCGTCGGTTTGTGGCTTTGTGTTGTCTCTCTCTTGCATTCATTCTCTCTCTCTCTCTCTCTCTCTCTCTCTCCCTCCTTTTTTGTCTACTGAGGATGTGGCGAGCGAGGATATCCCGAGTCCGGCGGAGTTCCCGGCAGCTTGGCTTTGGCTCATTGCCTTCGGTTTCGTTTGGTTGCTTGTGTTAGACCGCGAGCCTGTCCGAGGTTGAGGCCGCTTGGCTCTGCTTGGTTTTTGTTGTCTGTCTGCTGCTGCTGCTGCTGCTGCTGCTGCTGCTGCGCCTGTTTTATTGTTTCGTGGGTCTTGGGTCTGGGCCAATGAGGCAGCTCCAGTTGGTGTACCTCGGCTTGATGTCTGGCCATTTTTGTGGTCTTCGTCTTTTCGGTCGTGTGGCCGGGCCCTTGCTTTTGGTCACCTTGCTGGGTTTTAAGCTGGCTACGGTTTTGTTTTGGCTTCGCTTTGTTGCTCTGTCTCGGCCTTTCGGTCTATTGAGGTGGAGGGTGGCCCAGAGCCCGTTTGCCTTCCGCCGATGTTCACCGGGCAGGTTGCTCGGCTGGACGGCTCCCATTGCTTGGCCATCTTCTACTTTCTGCTTTGCCCGCTAAATTTTTAAACCCGTTACAGGGTGAACCTCCTTCGGGTGTGCCGGTTGACGATTGTATAGCCCTGTATGCATGCATGTGTAGTTTCATCTTTATATGTCTATAGACTGATAGATACACTAGGAAGCCAGATAGAATATGATAAAATGTTAACAGAAGAAAAAAGAAGCAATTCAATAGATACGAAGGTGGATGCATGGCTAACTTGCTTGTTAGACGAACCGGTACACCTGAGGAGCAGGCAGTTGGGGGAAGAGAGAGGCGGCCGGGGCTCGGGCGGCGCCAACGACATTACGTGCACAACGAAAAAGGTCCAACGTGTGAGGAGGTCCTTATCAATCTTGACCAAGCGTCCACAGATGAGATGACAACATTGGTTGAGGTTTTTTTGTTTTCACTTGCTAATAATAACCCCCCTCCCCAGTTTCCCATCGATTACTTTCAGGCCCAGGCAGGGCACCTTAGCCGCCATGGCCGCGCCGCCACCGGCATTAATCTCCACCGCGACGTGGCTGTCGCCGCAGCAGGCGGCACAGCAACACGAGCGGATACTGCGGCTGCAGCAGCAAGAACTGCTGCAGCAACAGTTGGCGCTGCCCATCGTAGCTGAGTCTTGGCCAAATGTGTCACGACCCAATCAACGCCACTTTGAAATCCACCTCAAGGCCTTAGAGATTTACGGCTTCAAGGTTTCCAGGTTTTTTTCCTTTGCGGTGCTTCCTCGCGATTTTGGGGCTCGGATGCTTCGACCCGAAAGGGGCCTAAAGGCATCTGATAGGGCCTCTGTAAGGGTTTTCTATATTATAAGGGTTGCATGATAGGTCTGTATGGGTTGTTAAAGGGTTCTGTAAGGGTGTCAGACTTTGGGTTGTTAGGGATTTGGGTTAAGGAGGTGGGATTCTGTTTCGTGCTTAGCAGTACCCGTCAAGATGTAAAGAGCAGAGGCTACCGGAGATTTCCCAGTCCCAAGCAGGGCGTTCATGCTGCTGCAGTGTGCCCAGATCCTTGTCCATAATCCCGGACCATTGACTTATTCCGTAGGCCTTATGCCTAGATTCTGAACCCTGAACCCCAATGTTCTCGGAACTCTAAACCCGAAACCCAGACCCTCAATGCTTTATACTTAGTAGTACCAGAATCCCCCAGCAGCCCTTAATGTATTTCTAGTACAGCGGGCTCTCAGCTCTTCAGGCCCCGCTGTATCAGCCCTGCAGGGTTCAGGGCTTTGGGTTTAGAGTTTAGGGGTCTAGGGTTTAGGAGGCATTAGGGGTGAGGGGTTTAGGGTTTAGGGTTTAGGTAGCGTCCCAGGCCAACTGAAGAATGTGCGACAGATCCAATCTGATCGCCATGCCTTCGCGGCCGTCTTGGAGGGAGGCGATGTAGTGGCTGGGCTTCACCTGGGTCCTTGCACTGGGTGTTTGGCTTTGGGGTCTAGGTTTATGAGGTTAGGGTTTGGGGGCGTAGGGGTTTTCGGTTTAGGGTTTCGCGGGCACTCAGATTTCAGGGTTCGGGGTTATGTATGCAAACAGCAATATGGTAACATGGTTCTGCTGCCGCCTTTGTGGCTACTGGGCAAGGTTACCCACTAGACCTTGCCTTATCTCAACACATACTGCGCTAAACCCCTAAACTCTCATAAGGAGCCCCTCAAAACCCAAGTCTAATTATTAAGGCCCTAAACCCGAAACCCTAAACTCTCAGGTTTCCTGGGGCCACCCGTCTTGCGGCGGTCTGGCGAGCGACGGGCTTCGGACGCAGCTGCGCGACGTGCAGCAGGCCCTGAAACCAAAAAGGCCCCGAAAGCCCTAAAGCCCCTCACCCTTCTACCTTGAGGCTTGAAGCCCGCCACCATGAGACAAGTCCGTTATGGAGTTGGGGTAAAGCTCCTGAAGCTCTGATCCCCGGAGCCCAAAGTCGTAAAAACCTAAAGCCCTTCAGCCCTAAACCCTAAACCCTAAAGCCTTTCAGCCCTAAACCCCCACCCCTAAGACGCAAAACCAAAAGCCATCAGTTCCACCCGTGGCTGGATATTGTCGCTAAGTCTCCTTAAACCTCGAACCGAGGATGGAGCTGCAGTTCGTACTTGGGGGCGGGAGGGCTTAAGGTTTCAGCGCTGCAGGGGATTTAGGGCTGTGGGGTTTTGGGGCTTCAGGGTTTAGCACAAGGCAAGGAGATGGCTCTCAGCGATAGGTTCCGGGCGCAACTGCCTGCGAGAGCAGCCGGGCAGTCTTTGCCTGTTCGTCGCTCATGTAGGTGTATATAACGTTGTATTTAGGATGTTATATGAGTTTGGAATTTTGTGATCGCTGCTAGAGCCGAAATCTGCAAGTGCACCCCGAGATTTGAACCGAAACCCTAGCGCCTCATAAGACCCACAAAGTCTTCAATCCAACACACCCAAACAAGCAGCAACTCTCAAGCCCTCCCTCAGGCCCTCATGCCCTTGGGATCCGCAATCTCCTCAATCCTCACATTCTCCACACGGCCTCTTGCAACCCCCGACCCTCAGACCCTTCCTCCCCTGGCCGTGAGCCCTACGCCCCATCCCCCACCTCACAAATTGCAATGCAAATTTCATCGAAGATACTAGCCGTGATGATGAGATGAAAGAAAAGGCAGTGATAATAATATCACGTAATCGAGCAGCCGGTGATAAACCAGCATCACAGCCATGATCATACTCATAACCATCGTCAAATCAGAGGCGTAACCAGAATCAGTATCACAGTCATGGTGACACTCAAAGTCAGAATCGTAGTCATGGTCACAATCAGAATCCGAAACTTAGAATCAGAATCATAATCCGAATGACAATAGCAGCATCAAGACCGACATACTAGTAACATAACCCCTGCACCCTAGGTCGTAAAGCCTACTCCCTAATCACTGCATCTAAAACTTAAGCCCTAGAAACCCTATAAACCCTAAAGTTAAAGGCCCTAGAAACCCTATAAACCTTAGAAGCCCTAGAAACCCACAAACCCTATGAAACCCTAAGCCCTAAATCCCCAAGCCCGAAAGCTCCAGGTGCAGAGCTCTGACTTCGCCTTCATTGCCCTCCGGCGGGATGGCTCTGCGGTGACCTGGGGGGATCCTGTGCCTTGCCTTGGGGTTGAGGTCTTCGGTCTTTTTTTGTGGGTTTGGGAGTCATTTTTACTGCAGGTGTTGGGTTTCTTGGGGTTTTACAGGTTTTGAGTTTTTTCGTTTTTTTGGGGTTGGGGGTTTTGGGGCTTTTAGGTTTTGGGTTCGGGGTTGATTGTTGGAGGGCGAAATGGAAGGGGTGATCACACAAGGGTCTGGGTTAGTTTACTTGAGGCTTGCATGATGGTTTTAGGTATACTGCCCGATCCGATTGCCGAGTGCTGTGCTCTGTGGGTGAGGGTTTCGAGCTGCAGAGGAGGGGTTTACAGGGTTTGGGATGAAGTTTTCTTGGGGTTCAAGGCAATTTTGGCCCCAGTGTCTTGTTGTCAATTGAATACGTCCTGCTTTTGCACTTGTCCTTTGTCATTTTCATCATCAGTCTGGCTCTCAATTGTGGCTTCTTCTGCTGAGTGGCGCTGTTTTATGCTCACCCACTACACAAGCCAGTCTTGCAGCCTTCTCTCCGAAACACATCTAATACCACACAGACCCCCTTGGTTGCAAAACGGGTTGTGGTTTCAAACGGCCCAAGAAGGGCTTCCAGGGTTTTGTGAGTATCGACGTGGGGTTTGGAGGAACAGGCGGGAGCCACGATTCAGAAGATCCTAAACCGTAAACCCTAAAAGCCCTAAAAACCCTAAATCCTAAACCCTAAACTCTAAACCCTAATCCAGGAGTATGGGGGTGACAGCCGAGCTGTACAAGAGCAGCTACTGGGCAGCCTCCACTAAGCCGGCAGTTCAGGTTTAGCTGCATAAGCTCGAATGCACCAAACATATCAACTCCATAACGACTTCGAAGACAAAGTGCTGCAGGGCTGGAGGGTTTAGAAAGTTTAGGGTCTGGGGCTGAATGCTCAAAACGCACATTATATAAGTTCGGAGTTAAGGGCTTAGGTCAGCGTGACAAAGAAGCATCTTTGTTCTGTCTTCCTCATTTCCAGACTTTGACGCGGCTCAGGGCGACCGTTGAAGAGTACCTGTTCATGCCTGGTTTAGTTACTCTTCGGCTGCTTTATCGGCACATCTATGTTGGCACGAGGGTTTATCACCGGAGTCGGGCTGTTGGGTTCTATGAATAGCCCAACAGAGCTTCCACAATGCCTTTAGCGGCTAAAGGCACAGGGATGGGATCTCGTCCTAGGCTCTGGTCCATCGCATGCAGTTTGGAACAAGCTACATTGAAATTGTTGAAGAACTCCCCATATCCCAAGGCACGGTGCACAAGGATCAGATCTGAACCCTAAGCTACTTTAAACCCCAAGCTCCCTACTTTAAATCCCAAAGCACAAGCCCTACCTCAGGCTTCGGCACGTTAAGCAGCTTCAATCCACTGATGGGGCTGTGGCAGCGGTGCTGAATACGGGAGGCGGCTGGTCTTAAGGTGTTTCAGGGTTGAGGGTTCTTTGGGGCTTGGGGTTTAGGAAGTAAGGTTTCGGGTTTGGAATCTAGGGTTAAGGGTGTTGGAATCGAAGAGTTTAGGGTTAGGGCTTGATGTTTGGAAGGTTTCGATTTCGGGTTTGCCGTAGGGGGTTGAGGGCTTTAGTGTTTAGGGTTTAGGGTTTCGGGCAACATGCCTCAAGCCCTTGAGCACTAATTGGCTTGCAACGGTCTGACTCTGAACAGCCGAACTCCCGAATCCCCCACCCTTAGACCCCAAGTCCAACCAAGAAAAGACGAGCTTTGACTAAACCCCAAACCCTTCGCATGGACTCTGAACCGGGAAACTGCTCGCCTGATGTCCATTCCCCAAAGCTCTTCACCTTGACTTGAGCCTTAGCCCAAAGCCCCTGGTTGCTTAACGTCTAGGGTGGTCTAGTGTTTATTCAGGATGGAGTTTCGGGTCAGAGTTTAATTCAGCGGACTTGCTGGATGGCAGAACCACTACCACCCAGCACGACTCCGACTACGACAACGACACTTGTAGTCGTCGTCCTAGTAGTAGGATCAGAAGCAGAAGCAGAAGCAGAAGCAGATAAAGCAGTGGAAGAAGAAGAAGAAGTAGTAGTACTAG